GCTTAAATAATATAACCAAATATTTAAATAGTTTATATTTTACTTAAAATATTATTTTTTATTTATATTGTTTTATAATTGTAATTGTATAGTAGATTTTATATAAGCTTAGCTGTATAAAGTAAAAAGTCTCTATAAATTAATTAATATACTTATTAATTTATAATAGTAAATAAATATTTTTTTTTATTTATTTATTTAATTTATATATCTTTATAAAGTTTTATTTTTTTTATTTGTAAATAGAACTAGTATATTTACAAGTAATTTAAAACACCAAATCTATTTTTTTAAAAGTATTTTTATTAATAATTTTAAAAAATTTTTTATAGATAATATTTTATATATTTGCTTTAGCTTTAGCTGGAAACTTTTATAGAAGTTAATTTTTAAATTAATTTTGAAATTAATTTTTAACTTTTATATAAATAAGTTTACTGTTTTTTTTTTTATTAATATTATTTTATATTTACAGTACTATACTAGTATTTTTTAATAAATAATTATTTTATAAACTTTTTATACTATTATTAAATAAAACTTTATTTTTATAAAATTTTTCAGAGTAATATTTTCTGCTGTAACCTGTAGTACTTTTAGTATATAATATTTATAAAATTAAAATTTATACTTATTAAATTTTATAATAGATTTTTATTATCTTATTTAAAATATTTTTAGAACTACTTTATCTATTTTTAATATTATAATTATAAAATCTATTTAGTTTTTATAGTATTTTTAGATATCTTTGAAATATAATATAAATACTATAGTTTTTTTTAAATTATATATTTTTTTTATTTAACCTTTTCTACAAGTATTTTTACTAGAATAGTTAATTATTTTATTTATTTAATAAATATTATAAATACTAGATTTATCTCTGCTTTACTATTTATAATAATTTTAATTTTTATAAAAACCTTTTTTTTTTAGAAAATTAGCTATTTTTTAGTTTTAAACTAAATTAGATTATAATTTTAACTTAGTTTAAAATAAATACTATAATTCTATCTGCTAGTTACTTTATAAGTACTTTAATTAAATACTAATTTTTTATTTAATAATTTATTTATTTATAATTATAGTAAGCTTCTAATCTGGGGGCCTGTATAGATACTTATAGTATTAAAAAATATTACTTTAGCTTTTAAATTATTTTTATAAAACTATTAGTTTAGATTTTTAGTTTTCAAATTTTATTTATAAAAGTAGTAGATCTATAACTTTTTTTTAAAATTTATTTATAAAATATTTTATTTTTTATTTATTTATATTACTAGTTTAATACTGGGTGTAATCTTGTAAGTAGTATAATAAAATCTTATTTTATTATAAAAAAATCTACTACTTATAGATTTTTTTTTAAATTATAAAAAAAATATAAAAAGTGAATACAGCTATATAGTATTAATATTCTATATTTTATAATCTAATTCAGTTTTTATTTTTTTTATTTTTATAAATAGGTAAATTCTTGTTTTTTTTTATAAGATTTAGCTTTAAGTATTTTTAATTAGAGTTTTTATTATCTATTTACAGAATTTTTTAACTGTATTTTAAAAAACTTATAAAAACTAGTTTATTTTTTATAATAAAATTCAGCTGTCTTACCTTTTTATAAATTAGTTAAAATATAATTTAAATAGGCTACTATAATATATATATTTTTAGCTTTTATTTTAGTTATTAGCCTTTACAGTTAACTTCTGTCTAGTAATAAATATATAATAAATAGTATAGTTGTAGATAGTATATTTTTTTTATTTATAAATAAATTAATATATATACTAGTTTTTTTAATTTCTGCAGTACTGGAATTAGAATTTTTTAAAGTTTTATATAAATATTTTTTTATAGTACTAATTTTTAGCTGTTTCTACAGCTTAGTAATTTATTTAAATAAATATAAATATTTATAAAAATTTTAAATTAGAATCTATATTTTTTCTTAGTATAGATAATTTATTTTCTGCAGTTAATATATAGTTTTTTATAATTAAATTAAAAAAATTAGTTTTAGTTTAGTTTTATATATAATATTTAGCTACCATTTACTAGCCTATTTTATAGGGTATTAAGTAATAAAATTATAAAAACTAGAAAATAAAATAGTATAATAAATAAATAGCTCTTATAAAGCTAAGGGTATTAATATATTATTTTAAAATATTTTTACTATTTTATTTAATTTATAAAATATCTGCTGTTTTTAGGGGCGGCTGCAGTTAGTTTACTTAGCTGTTATATAACCACCACCTTAGATTATTTATATATATTTTCTTTTGCAGATATCTGCAAAGGGTGGAAGGGCTGTTTGGGCCCCTACAAATTCTAAAACTATTAAAAAAATTAATTTTTTTAATCTTAAATTAATTAAAGGCCTAAAATACCACCAATCTAAATTTTTTAATTAAAATAACTATTTAAAAAAAACCCATTTTTATAAATAATCTAAATAATAATTAACTATATTAATAAAAAATTTTTTTATATTAATAAATCTCAGCTACTACCACCTTTTACCAACTAAAAAAAGTAATAAATTATTTTTATTAATTTTTATTTATTTAGGCTTTAAAGACTAAATTTAATTAATTAAAACCCTTAGATATCTAGATTATATATTTAATATATAATATATATAATAAAAAGATGCTTCTACTAAATAAGATATAAATTTATAAATTTAATAATAAAAGTTATTTAATAGGCTTTTAAGTTTAAATTTATATATAAAATAATTTACAGATATTTAATTAATTAGAAATATATACTAGTATATTTACAGCCAGATTTTTAAAAATTATTTTAGTTTTTGTTACTATACTTAATTTAAAAATATACTAATTAAATACAGTTATTATTTTTTTTAATAGTTTTATTAAAAAATCTATATAGGACTACTTTATAGATTAGGAAATAAATAAATAGTTTACTAATTAAAAAAAGTTTTATATAAATTAAGATATTCTCTACTGCTTTAGTAAAAGATACTAAGGACTAAATTAAAAGCTCTAGGGCTTAGTCCTATTAAAAGAATTAATATATCTATATTAATAAATATTTAATTTTTTTAATATTCATACATAATATAACTTATGCCTTCTACTAATTAAATTATAAAAGATTTAATAAATTTAAGTTAAAATTAATAATATTATTTCAAATAAAGGACCTTAGTAAAGCTATATTATTTTTAAATAGTTAAATATTATATAATGATCCAAATAGAAAACTTTAGATTAAATAATTAAACTATATTAATAAGACTATTAACTTTAGAAGCTTTAAATCTCTATTTCTAAATAAAAAATTCATTAAAACCTACTTTTCTAGGCCTTAGCTAATTAAATTTATAAATTTTAATAAAAAGTAGAGTTAGCTTCATATTCTGCAGTCTAGACTAGATTCAATATAGTAAAATTATATTAGCTGCTTATAAGATATTTAATTAATCTAAGCCCTAAATACTTTAGAATAGTAGATTATCTAATCTTTTATTTAAAAAAATAAAGAACTTAGTTATTAAATATAGCTCTAGTTTTAAACAGGTAGTTTTTATTAAGCTAGTAATACTAGTTTTAGTAATAATTTAAATTATATTAGCTTAATAAAATATATTATTTATTTATTTAATAAACCAATTAATTAGTTAAATAGAAAGTTATATTAAATAATTTTTTTAACTATTAAAGTAGAATTATTAGCCCTAACTACTGCAGCTAAGTAACTGCTTTAGTAGAACTAATTTTTTATATAAATAAAATTTAATTTTAAATATTATTTTTTAATATTATATAATAATATTTAAATAGTTCAAATACTAATAAGCTTTATCTTTGATTTTTAGACTAGCTTAAAATATTTTAATATTATAAATTACTGGCTTAGATAAGAAGCCCTAAATAAAACTATTAATATTTATTAAATTTTTACTAATAAAATATAAGCTGATAGTTTAACTTAGTAATTTAGCAGTTAAAAATATTAGTAATTTATTTAGCAACTTAATATAGTAAAAATTCAATTATCTATATTTTCTTTATTTTAGTAATTTATTTACTTTTTTATTTGCCTATCTGTTTACTCCAGTTTTAACAAAAACTATTTAGTTTTTTTAAAACTATAAGGGTATATTAAACTAGTAGGTTATTAAGCTTTAAAATCATAGCGCTAATGAAATTTAATTTAATTAGTTAAATAAAAACTATTATTTTTAGCTATTTTTTTATCGGCTAGCCAGGCCCGGCTACTCTACCCCTATATACTTACCCTGGTATTTATCAATTATCCCTTATTTTTTATTTAGAAAACTAATAAACAAAGGATTTTAGCTTAAGTAGTCTAATATATTTTATTATTCTTTTAAATTAGTTTAATCAGTTCTATTTATCTGATAATTATATATTAAATTTACTATTCTATTTAATTTTTTATTTATCTAATCTTTAATATATCTTATTTTTAATTTTTTTCTTTTTCTTTTACTTTCACCTCACTTTCGCACCAAAATTGTATGCAGAAGTAAAAGTTTAATAAATCTTATCTAAAATTCCTTTGAAATCTAACAAATTCTAATAGTTAATTATAGCTTCAGAACAGATTTTTAAATACCAAAAATTAAAATAATATTTATATATACTCTAACAAATAGACTATTAAAATTATAAGAAATTCTGTTTTTTAAGTTTGCTGTTCTATAATTCTATCTGTTTGTCTAATAATAAATAGAGATACTAAAATTAAAAAAATAGAAAAGTTTAATATATATTCTTATTTGGATTTTAAAATTATTTTTATTTAAATCAGATAATAAATAGCCATTATTTTTGAGACACCATTACTCGCCTATTCTGAAGAATATTAATTTATTTTTTATAATTTAGAAATCTAAAAGCTCTCCTCTATTCAAATATCCAAGAAAAACTTTTAATGTTCTATTTTTAGTATCTGAAAATAAATGCTGATTTACTGTATAGACATCTCAATCTATCTCGGTGAGGGGTTAAGAGTATGTCCTTAGCGACTAGCGACCAATCCTTTCCAGCATTGGCTCAGTGGGTACAGATCATCTTAATAAGTGGTGTACTGGCCGGCTTACCCCCAAAAAAACATCCAACGCAAGCCTGGCCTCAATAAACTCTCTCCACAGCGCCCTACAAGCCCTATTGTCTCCCGAGTCTCTCATCCGCCAGATCTCTCGCACTACCTCCTCAGCAAGAGCGTAGATGGTAAACCCGGTCTGCTGCCGCCGTGATAACCAGGCAAGTATCTGGTCCCGGGATTTCATCTCCCCACGCTGGATCTTCGAGCTTATTATAACAATGGCCCAGATGAAGGGGGTATGGTAGTGATCGTTTATGTGGTTATAATTAAAATCGAGAGCCAGGATGTGTAAGAGGCCAAGGATTGCAAGGGTGTCGGTCTCGACTGTGCGCGTATAGGGAGGAACAGATTGCTTATAGCAAATCAGCGTGGAGTAGGAGAAGACATATTGGTGGTGGCTAGGCCCGCTGATAAAGGCTGAGGAAGAGCGAGATGATGGGGAGAAGAGATCCGTAGACAGATGGCAATGTGAGTCTCCTGGTATGAAAAGTGAGAGCTGGAGCTTAGCCCAGCCGATGTTTGTTGCTGATAAGTAGGTATCCTGAAAACAGAGAATCTCCGCGATAATCTTCATCAGCCCGGCAGAGATTCCTAGCGCCTCTTGGGTGTAGGATGGGTCCACGTGCTTGTACAGCACTTCAAGGAGATCTGTCGGCTCAGAATCGGTAAAATGATTGCTGTTGATTGCAGTGCTAGAATAAATAGTCGTAGTAGGGGTGGTGGTGGTGGAAGTCGTAGGAAACGAAGAAGAAGACGCAGACCAAGTGCGAGGAGCCGGTGTAAAGGAAGAAAACAAATCAAGAGAAGAACGTGATGGGGGTAATGAACCTAACGAGAGCAAAGTTCTTGTGAGGGTCTCCGTAAGCATTGCCATGAGGTTAATCTCCTGAAATGTCTGAAAAACCATCCATGCCGACCGTGATGACCACCACAGGTCTTTAGAAGCAAGCTTAGAGAGCGAGTTCCCTCCCGCAATATGAGAGCGCCATGCCTGGCCCATCCCACTTGTAGTGCTCTCTGTCACAAAGGATTATCGTAGAGAGCATTGAGACCATCGCAATCTCATTACTGCGGTTATTTGGGCTATTGGTAATCAGACTTTGCCGAAGTTGCGCGAAACTACGGAGGCGATGCAGTTCACCCAGAGCGAAGAAACGCCGCTTCTTAAGTAGATCGGAGGTGAGAGATGCGATGTTGGATGCAGATATAGCGCATATGGCATTGAAAAGAGCCAGACAACCATTAAACGCAATGTGATCCGCCGAAAGACTCTTGTTCAGTGCCAGTGGGAGGAAAACCGAAGTCATCGCATTTTCCACGCCGTTGATAGGGATTAGGATAGGGCCAAGGCTGTTAGCCCAGTGATAGATGAGCTGGCGTTCATCAACAGAAAGCAGGAGCAACGGGTCGATGTGGCGACAAATCGATTCTGTCAATGCCTGTTTGGAATGACGATGCTCTGTGAAGCATTCCTGATATTGCGAACAGCCACACTCCGCTGGCAGGTTCTGAGGGGTCAGGTATTCATTAGCCACCACAGCGTCAGCATTATTCCGAAACCAAAGCTCTTGTCAATCACTAGGTCCCCTGGAGACGGTCTTTTCACGGTCTTGGAGGGCGGAGAATACTGAGAACAGCCCCCGTTTACCCTCGCCATAAACCCCGGCCAGCCAATCCAGCTCGGTTTGCATTTTTATCGGGTCGACATGAGGCAATTCCCTACATGGAGGTAAGCTACGGATGGCTCTACCGGGGGAACGAGAGTCAAGATCTTTCACAACCCAGTAGAGCTCGACCGAGTAGCCCATGCACTCGATACCTGCCTGCTGGCATCGTAGACAGGTGGGACTGGCCTCATTGCACCGGACATGACGAAGGCGGCAAGTCCAGCACCCGCTGTATCTTTTCCTAATCGGCATATTGCAGAGAGGGAGTGGGCGAAAGAAAGAAAGCCAATGGTATTGCGGTTACCAGACCGAATAGGGGCCGAGTCAGAAATATGAGGGGGTGGACCGAAGCACGTAGGATGGGAATTTTACAGAAAGCAGTAACTGGGTCGCGGAGGCAGCTAGCTCCACAGCTCCACTTTTCCCAAGATAGAAGTCGGTAGAGAGCTGGGGGAATTAGCCTCGGAAGTCTCGATGTCACTCCGCCTTGGCGTATATCTCGGTACCGAGTAATACCATAACCATCTGCGGGGATGTAGAAGATGTTGACTCGTATCATCTCTCTGCCCGCAAATTCTCCACTCTCGCACTGCAGCTTCCGTCGTTTGAAGCCAGTTGGAAATTTCTTCGTGCAATGCACCACCGTCCTGGTTATATTAGCGCACTTTGGGTCATGAGCTACCCCACTAGGCCAGAACCAGCTGGTTGAGGGTTCGACGGGTATAAAGTATTTACACTGTCCTTTCTTCCTTCCCTCCTTCCCCCCTTCTCTCTGTGATCATAACGACCGCCATCATAGGGACAAAGTCAGCAATACACCCGGCGCAGAAAGAGAAGATGCCGGAAATAATGGACGGCAAGATGCGAGCGCTAGTCACAATTCCGGGAGGCAAAGCAGAGATCCGAGAGGTAGGCCTTCACACTACGAAACTTCTCCCAGCCCCGATAAATTGTTGGTCTTTTTCTTACTCTTGTTGATTCGCCTGTGCAGGTTCCTATTCCCAAGCCCCTTTCCGGCCATGCCCTCATCAAGGTCAACGCAACAGCGCAAAGCAATGATCTGAACGGCATTGAGGTGTCGAAGCCCTACGTTATATGCGGAGATGATTTTGCCGGCACCGTCGTTGACGCCAACGGTACAACCCTAAAAAAGGGTCAGCGTGTTGCTGGCTTTGTTATGGGCAGCGATACTGACCCCTGCCGCGGAACCTTTGCTCAATACGCTATGGTGCATCCCGATTATGTCTTCTACATTCCCGACTCCGTGAAGGACGTCGAGGCTGCCTCAATTTCACTATCACTCGCAACAGCGACGGTTTCCCTGAAGTGGTTGGGAATCCCAGATGCAACGGACCCCGCGGAAAAGCCGTTTCCCGTCCTTATATACGGTGCTTCCTCAAGCGTTGGCCTCTTCGCTGTGCAGCTGTGCAGAATGGCCGGGCTATATGTCATTGCTACAGCATCTAAGCGCAATCACGGACTCTTGAAAAGTCTTGGTGCCGATATGATTATCGATTACTGGGATGGGGACTGGGTCGACCAAGTCAAGAAGGCGGCGACTGCCAAGGGGGGCCTGCATCATGTATTTGACACGATTAGCAAGTACGAAACCACCAAGGCCTGCGTTCAATCATTCGGAGAGGAAGGTGGGCATATCGTTTGTATCATGGCGCGCACAGCGGAGGAGTTAAACTTGCCGGCAAACATCAAATTGAATGTCGCGCTGTGTTACTCGGTCTTCGGAGAAAATCTCAGGTCCAAAGATGTGGAATTATATCAATCATTCCAGGATACGGACGGCGCCAGACCACAGGATCAGGAGACTTGGAAAAAGTACTTGAGGTTGATGCCTGAATGGCTGGAGTCAAAGGCTTTGAAACCGAACCCGTTGCGCCTGCAGGGCGGCTTGGACAATATTCTAGAGGGACTTGAGCTGCAGAAGCAGGGATTGGTAAGCTGCCAGAAGTTAGTGTATACGATCGATTAGTGGCTACTGCTCAAGCGAGCTTGCAGCAAAACTGATATGACCTTCTGCCATCGCACATAAGAAGAATTGATTAGACAGGACTGACCTATATGAGTTGAAAAATACGATGAGTCTTTGACAACACTAGAAGAATCTAAATTTGCTAACTAAATCAGGGTTTAGATATCTTACGATTCTGACTTTGATATAAACCAATCATATGATTCTCAAAAATTTATCAAGTTAGGGATAAATTTTTGTTCATCTGATATAGAAAAAATTAAGTCTAATAAAATGACTTATAGCAAAAAATAGTAAAATATTATAAAAGATAAAAACTACATACAACTCTTTCGTATAGTAAGGAATTCTTTTAACAGAGCACTGTAGTAGACAAAAATCAGATAAAAAATTAAGTACTAATATGATTAATCGTAGCAACAATAATTAAAATTAACAAGAAATAGATGATAAAAAGAATATCTCTCTATAGCCGATAATCCCCAATAGTAAGAGTGAAAACTAAAAGTTTAAATATTTTCCTCCTTTTTTTAAGATAAATCTCTAATATCTTATTCTAGAAAGATTATTTAGATATCAATCTATCAAATAGCTCTCTTGCATTTTTGAAAGAATATTAAATAGAACAACCTTTCTAGATAAAAGAAAATCTTATTCATTAGATATAGAATGTTTTTAAAAAGTTTCATAGCTCTATGAGTCTGAGGTGTTGGAAAATAAGTCTAGATTTTTTGTAGATCTGCATTCCTCCAGTTTCTTTTTTTTTTTGACTTTTTAGAAATCTTTCGTAAGACCTGACCATAGGGATTTTGTATGTACAGGGCTTAAGTTACAGATATTCAATAAATGCAAGAATCAAACTAATGAAAGAAGAACATTAATTTGGAAGATGAATAAATTATATAGGTCATGAATAAATATTAGTATTTAATACTGCAGCAGTGTATACAATATTTATTCTTTACGTTCTTTACTCCCGGGGCCTACATTGGATTTAAAAAGATAGATAAAAAAGATTAAACTGGTCAAAACAAAGTTTAAACCTGATAAAGAACATTGTGATTGATCAAAGACCTAGTGAAATAGAAGTATTCTAATTATAAATTCATCAAGTACTGTAACTGAAAAGTATCCTTATATAGCTTGAGTTTTAAGATCTTGATATATTTCATACAGTAATGACTTTTTAAAGTGAAGACTGTCAAAACCATGTAGGGGTATAGCAGATCTCCGAGTAACATGAAGAAAAGCCGAAAACAAATTCAGAACCGGCATCGGACGAATCCTAGGCTTAGACCGGTATTGGTATATAAGTTTATTTCGCTTGTTCAAGGTGAAACAATTGATAAAAAGTGAAACGTTCTCATATCCTGTTGACCTCTCACTGCATGTTTAAAATGGCCTGGACAAAGTCGTCCGCGAAATTCAGCTCCCAGTCTCGCTCCGTTTTGCGCGGCTTCCATCCTAGTGCCTGAGCCAGAGATGCGCGGCCCCGACAACTGTATTGCTTGGGCGTATTGAATTCAGCGGTGGCTCCGTGGCTGGGGACAACAAGGAAAGAAATCATACCTGCCAGCAAATTCTAGCTCCAGCTCCTGTCTGGTAGCGGCCATTCCGAGGGCGAGGGCCTCTTCCACGGCGATGGCCCGTGGCTCCGGTGTCTCTAGCCATCCAAGCAAAACGCCCACGCGCGCCACTCCAGCGGCGAGCTGCGGCCAGCTCGATCTTCCGGCGCTGGCGAACAGGATTCCGCGCGTCTCACGCAGCACTTCTCGATCGCCCGTCAGCGCACGCCGCAGGAGTAACTCATAGAGATCAGCCAGGTCCTGCACATGGACGTAGTCAACGGTACCTGTACCTGCGCTGTGAAGATAGACGGCCTGTCGAGCCCGGATAGCAGCTACTGATAAGGTCCGAATGTGCACCGCACCCCTTTTGTCGAACGGTCCGGTCCCCAATCCGTAAATTAGCGGCGCCATGATGGTGTACGTCCGGATCCCGGCCTCTTGGGAGCGTTGCGCGAGCAGTAAATCTGTGGTGCGCGGCCTATAAATCTCGCAGTTCTGGCGACGCCACATGTGTTCCAGTAGGTTGTCCAATTTGTCGTCGAACCAACGGGGCTCACTGTCAAGCTGGGCCGAGGTCGCATCATGGAGATTCGCAATGGTCGATGTCTATGGAATATCACGTGGACGGTGAGCGCGCAAATGGGGGATATTAAGACTGTGTACTGCAACATACGTGGATCATATAAACCGGGCTCCCGGTCAGCGTGCGCCGGATCCCAAGGCCCAAAACCAGGGCTTCCACGGCGTCGGGATCCCATGCACCTGCGCAGTGAATCACGACTGCATAGGAAGTGAGTCCATCGTTGAAGAGAGGCTTTGTGCGTGGCGGACGTCGGCATACCGTCATGCTGGCTGGCGGTATACGCCAGCAGCTCAACATCCTCAGGTCCAGCAAAGGGGATGGGCTTTACTCCGTGCTTTGTCCAATGCTCCAAGCACCAGGAGCTCTCAATTAGGGCGGAGATCTCCAACCGTTGGACGCTGGTGTCGTTCGATCGAAGGAGTGCGGTGAGTACGGAGCCACCGAGGTAGCCTGCGGACCCAGTGAGCAGCAGCCTCGTCTTCGTCTGTGTCATGCCGAGAAAGCCGCCAGGAAGACAGTGCCAGCTCAGATGCGAGACCTGGTCCACAGGATCAAGCCGTCATCATTTAAGGATATGTGGCTATGGGAAAGAGCGAGATCGGTTGCCCTCCGCTGCTGACGGACCTCCGTCGTGGCTTCGGTGCCGAGCGGGCGTCCATTCGGCCCCTATCGCAGACTGGTGGGAGCTAATTGGGATCGGAAGTTCCCATCTCCCCGCACGACCTGGCTTGCCAACATCTGCAGCATGAATTAGCTACGGACCTATGGGGACGTAGTACTCACTCGGGCGACGACAACTCCCCGCGAGATGCCCTACAAGTGGAAGATGGTTGGATTATCAACATGTGAGTTTATTTCCGGAACCACTAGTTACTAGGTAGCTAAGAATCACCAAGACATGAACCCTACCAGAATCCCACACTATCGGAAGGCCTACACCCCCAGATGATTCAGATACTTGCATTGGCCCGCCGGAAGATTTCCCGTCGAAAATCAATGGCCAGATCCATTGATGGGCCATCCCCGGCGGGCATGAGTTGTGACATATATAATCCACACGTCGCCGACGCACGATCAATCCACTGCGGGGAAGAATTGCGTAAGTAAACCGCGATGGTCGCACGGTGTATTTCCTCGCCGGGATCGTGGGAAACTTACCCAGTAGCAATTGGGCATACCCTGCCAGGAGAGAGTTCCCCGGCGGCAAACTCCCGGCACATCGGCGGTGTGGAGAGTGCCTCCATATCCATACTGCCAATCCTCACTCGCCACCCCAGCACGAACCATAGGTCCCAGCTCGGGGTCCCGTGTTACTGCTAGAAGGGCGCGTGGATCCTTCAGCTGCGGGGTAAACATCTTTTTCACTGTTGTAGAACGTAGCAGCTTTTCATCGTCAGCCAGCAGCGAGACGAGCACCTTCAAAAACTCCGCCGGGGTGCAGTAGAGTCCGCCGCCACCGAGATCATCGCCGGGGTCCTGGTTCGGCCCCCGGAAGTAGGGCTGAGTAGGAACCAGTTTCCCCGTGGACGAGCGCTCCGTTGCATCTGGCAACTGTGCGCGCAATTGATCGTGCTCTAGGGGGCGGAAGGTGACCATTGTCATGCCCAGGGGTTCGAAGATGTGCTTCCGCATATAGTCCCCTAGGCGACAGTTCCCATTCAGTCTTTCCACCAGCTTGCCCGCCCAATCGATCGAGACGCTGTAAGCCCATCCTTGGCCCGGCTCGTAAACTAAGGGAGTCGTGCATCGTTCATGCTACCGATGCGGGCTCGTCAGTTCTCGTCGTGAGACCAAGGGCCGAGGAGGAGCAGGCGGCTTACCACGGGCCATTCCCAGTCCAACATCTCCTCGCCGCGGAGCTCCCTCCATTTCCGGAGTCTAGCATCCAAAAAGTCATAGGTCATGCCGCTCTGTTGGGTGAGCAGGTGATGGACGGTGATTGGAGCGGCTGGTTTGCGCAGCTGGGGCTGCTTATTGGGGCCAAAGCCCGTCAATATTTGCAGGGCGCCGACCTCCGGGAGAAGGTCGTTGACCTCCATATCCAGCCGGAGCTTCCCTTGCTCCACCATCTGTAAGGTGGCGATGGTGGTCAACAGCTTGGTGCAGGAGGCGACCCACAGTGGAGTGTCGACGGTCATCGGTCGGGCGCGGTCAGGCTCCACGGAGGTTACGCCCCGCGCCTCTGAATGAATGATGTTGCCTGCGTAGACCGAGTAATCAGACAGAGCTCTGGTGGTGATGGAAGGCATCAATGCATGCGCAATGGGGGTGAAAACGGGGAGGCGACTGTACCGGCGCCATCTGCGGCCATAACGACTGCGCCAGGGGTGATCTGGTTGGGTCCGGGCGCGGTGGCCGTTTGGAATCGCTCACCCCAAGTCATTTTTGTACAAGCGCTTGATTGAGCATTGCGTATTCTTCGTTCACTGTGGAGAATTTATGATTGCCGAGCAGTCAGGAGCCCAGGGAGCCCAGTGAGGGGCAACGTTTTCTTTCCGGCACCGAACGGACATTGCCGAGATCGGGACCCGCCCGCTTATCAGCCACTGGCAGGATTTGGATTTCTTTCTTATTCCCCAAAAGGCAGGAGCGGACGAGCACACTTATCTGTTGGCTTGTTCTCACAGCTTTGTCTCTTCACTGACCGCTGCCTTTATCTTTGCTCCTAAAGATCCGTAAGATAAGGTCATACAATACGTTTCTTTTTGGCCGGTGTCTTAGGGACTAAATAGAGGGGTTGCAAGCCGAACGAGGAATAGCCCTTGCAGAAAGCTGCCTCGAATCGCCGGCAACTCCCTTCTTTGTGCTCTGGAACAATCAGATCCAACACAGGTGCAGCACTACTACAACCAGAATGCGTTTGACATATCTCTCTGAAGACCTCACAACCCTCTCCCCCGAGGATGAGGCAATTTGCGAGCGTATTCGTGCCCGACGAGGCCCCATTGGCCTGCTCGGAATCGACCGTACGCTTCTGCATGCCCCGAAGATTGCGGATGGTAGGTGACTCCACGATTCAGCCTCGAACTTTACATGCACTGTCAATTGACCCCAACTCCGCGAGAGTATAGGATGGAGTACCCTGCTCGGGGCGGTCCGCACACAGACCTCGTTGGAAGAGGATATTAGGGAGATCGCCATCTGTCGCCCGTGTCGATTGAACACCACCTGGACTGAGTGGCAGCCCCACGAAGCCCTCTTGCGGAAGGCATCGGGGATGACGGAGGAAGGAATCGAGGTGGTCAAACAGCGGCATCCCCCCCAGCAAGGCAGTCTCAACGATCGCCAGTGGGCCGTCCTGCAGTATGCCGATGCAATGACCATCGCGGTGGACGTGCCCCCCGCTTTGGTCCATCGCCTCCAGGAGGTCGGCTTCAGTCCGCAGGAAATCGTCGAAATCACTGCCACGGTGGCAGCGTACAATTTCACCTGTCGATTCGTGCTGGCGCTCGACGTCAGCGAAGGCATTGCCGCTGCCCCAGCCTGGTTCAGGGAGTGACGCGAGGTCGGGCAGGCAAAATTGACATATGTGTTGCCTTATCTCGAACAATTCCACTGTCTCTGGTTGCGTCGTACCACCTCCATTCATGACCCCCGCCGGCTGAGCGGTTACGTACACCCGGGTAGATCAATAGTACAAGCCTTTGGAGCGGGGATCGTTCCTCTCAATGCATACGGCCATCACAAAATCGGGCTGTGTGGCACATACACTGGCCCCAACAAAATACAAGTTCAGGAAGCTGGGCAATCGCCGCAGGAAATGTAAGAAGAAAGAATTAAATTCAACCATATTAGTAACGAAACTTTCAGCATTTCGTATCTAGCCAATGAAGCCTCCGCTTCTAATAGTCGGTCTTGCTATCCTCGTCTCTCTCCAAGCCGATCACCTCGGCAATCTCCCTCATGTCACTCATCCAGATGCCCGGCGTGTCCTTGGGGAATTGGGAGCGGAAGCCCAGCATTCTCTGCGCCCGGGGTGTCATCTCGCGGACCTTGTCCAATGGCACCAGCAAGGTGTGCGCTTCCTCGGGCGTGAGGTAGGAAGCTTGGATACTCATGGCCACTCCGCGTCGGCGTTCGTCCTTGGTGCGGTTGGCGCCTCCTCCGTGAATGTTCCGTCCGCTGAACAACGCGACGTCGCCAGCATTCATCTCCACGGGGAGAGTCCCGTGGGGAGCTTCAATTTCCAGGCCGTCGGTGCGGGTCGCATCCTTGGGCCACTGGTGACTCCCCGGGATCATTCGCGTGGCGCCGTTCTCGTCAGTGAACCGAGTGAGTGCGATGAAAAAGTTGATGCTGGCTTCTATGCCCCCAGGGCCGACGCTTCGGAAGACGGGGTGCTGCTCTTCGTCACGGTGCAGGGGCTGCGCCTCATTACCCGGGCCAATATCGATCACCAGGGCAGTGTTCAACCAGTAATCCCCGGAGTCCTTGGCGAAGACGGCCTTGCAGATATCATGCAGCAGGTCGTTGTCCAGCGTCTGCGTGCGGAAGATCTTACTGTGGGTGGACATGTTGGACATCCGCTTGGTGTTGGAGCCGTGGTAGCGAGCAATCTCAGGGTCCTTTAGGGAGGGTCCGTTCTTGACCTTCTCGAGCGCCGGGGTCAGGTCGTCATTGAGCTCCTCTACCTGCTCCAGAGAGAAGAAGCCCTCGATGACCACGACGCCGTCTTCTTTAAATGCCTTAAGAATATGCTCTGGGCCCCTAGAGGCGGGCACTCGTTTGACAGGTGTGAGCGGAGGAAAAACGAACGGCATCGCGGTGATGGTAAAATACGACGGTATGAATCACAAGGTTCCTGGCTCCGACTTTTTTTCGTTATTGTTTCGCGAAAAGAAGATATCTTGGCTGAGTGATTTATGCTGGCGGTCTAGGGAGTATTTATGTTTAGGGTGGAAGGTATCGGGGGTTGAGGGACGTCAAAAACGTAGTGTTTCCCCGAGACCTCGTCTTTCTAAGCTGGGAAGGAGCAGACGAGCTGTAGAGAGACGAGAATGATCAGAGTCGATAGGAGTGAGCGGACGACCACTCACTCGTCTCCACCGGGTTCGATATCCCCCTGGCCACTCCGGCCGCAGTGGGCATCTGATCTTTACGGCAGTTATGGACGAGCTGCTGCTCGAATTGGCCACTACGGTCCGTGCTGAAACTGGCTGAGTCTAGTCAAATCAAATCCCTTATCTGTCGCCTCCTCGCCGCAACGTCAGTGGTTCTTATCGCCGTGAGACTCCGCCCTCACGAACTTTACTCTGGCTTGCTTTCCCTTCGCTATATCTATTCAATGGCCTCGTCCCGGTCTTACCATATTTCCATCGGACCAATCCATTCCGCAGCACAATGCAGTCCATCCAACTGATTCCAGCCCCCCCGGATACGCCCGGCAAGCAGAAGGTGTCCGCAGTGGCAAGAGATTCGCCTGAGCCGGCAGTGCACCAAGGCCAGGTCGTCACCTTTGGTGACTCGGGTCTCAAACGCGGACTCTCGGAGCGGCAAATCTCCATGCTCGCGTTAGCCAGCATTATTGGCGGGCCGGCTTTCTACTTGATCGGATATGTAATCCATCTCTCTGGGCCCATTGGCACCTTGCTTGCCTTTTGCCTCGTTGGTATGTGGTGGATATCAGCTCGTTGAAGGAAATCCCTTGCCACGACCAGCTCCTGACCTCCAGTTCAGGGTTCATTGTTTGGGCCCTGATGCAAAGCATCGGAGAAGTGACAACCATGTTCCCGATCGCAGGAGGCTTCATCGAGGTACGTACGACTATCCGGCGCGGCGCTGCGGCACACATCGCTGATCGCTGAGACGGGTTCCCTCACTCAGCATGCGACGCGGTTTGTGGACCCGTCATTCGGCTTCGCCCTGGCTTGGATCTATTATCTGATGTGGTGTGTCCTGCTGGCGACGGGTAAGAGCCCTGCTTCGCCCCCTCACGCGCGGCATCGTGCAGCAACCAAACACGCGCTGATCGTTGGATGGATGATCCAGAATGGAGCGGCGCGATCTTGGTTCTTGACTACTGGGTCTCGCCGGAGCAGATGCCTATCTGGGGCTGGTGCCTGATCTTCTTCGGCTTTTTCACAGTGGTCACAAACTGTGGGGTCGTGGTCTACGGCGAAGTCGAGTACTGGCTCGGATGGGCCAAGCTGCTGGCCATCTTCGCTTGCTTTTTCATCTCCTTCCTCGTCAACGTGGGCGCCTTTGGGAACGGGTATGTGGGGCTGCGATACTGGACTCCGCCAAACGGTTCGTTTCAGGATGGTCACGGGAGCGACAGCAACTCGATCGTTAACCAGCGCCTGTAGGACCTTTTCAGGGCGGGCTCGGTGATTTCGCACAGAGTTTGGTGACTGCAGCCGCCTTCTATGTGGGCACGGAGATCCTATCCTTAGCCGCTGCGGAAACGCACCAGCCCCAGCGGGCGATCCCCCGGGTACGGGCCCTTTCCCCTGCACCTCTAGCGTCGCGATGCCTACCTCAGTGACTGACGGATGCCACGGAGTAAGTAGGGCACCCGAAGTGTGGTGATCCGGATCTGTGTTGTCTTCATTGGCCTTGCCTTTTGGCAGTCTATCATCTGCCCCGCCACTTCTTCCCAGCTCTTGCAGGCAGACAGCACGGTGGGAATCTCCCCGTTCACCATCGCCTTCACGCAGGTCGGCTGGGTGTCGTCAGGAGACTTCATCAACGCCATGTGTACCATGGCCTTCATTTCGGGGGTCAACGGCGCCGTGTATGTGCAGTCGCGCGTGCTCTATTCCATGGCCTTGACTGGACGTGCGCCAAGGGTCTTTGCGCGGCTCTCGAAAGCGAAAGGTGAGTAAGGTAGCCCGTTTGCCTGCTGGATTGGACCCAGTCCCGGGCTGCTAATCACGATCGGCAGTCCCGTATGTGGCGATTGTGACCGCCAATATGTGGGGATTCCTGACTCTCTTAAACCTCGGAGGCTCGGCCGGCGCCATCTACTCCTACATCGTGACGGTCGCCGGGTCCTGTGCGTATATCACCTGGGCTTGCATCGTGTTCACCCACCTGCGCGTTCGCGGCGGCCTGGTTCGGCAAGGTATCAGCCTCGACAGCATCCCATTCCGGGCTGCTGGCAGCATCTGGATCTATCGCGGCAACTTCGTTCTGGTGATCCTTCTCCTCTTAATATCCGGCTACACCAAGCTGACACCCTTTGACCGGGCGGGCTTTGTCTCGTCCTACATCGCCATCCCGACCTTTTTCGTTTGTTACCTGGGTCACAGGCTTTATCACGGATCTCAGTGGTAAGTCGGCCGTCGCCTGGCTCCCCTTGCTTCCCTTGCTCGCCTCGCTCACAACTGGGTAGGATTTCACGGAAGGATATGGACCTGTCTATGCGAATGCCTCGTCTAGAAGAGGAAGAGGGAGGGGCTCAGTCGTGGAGGGGCAGATTACACCGATGGCTTCCGTGGTGATGGATGGGTTTCCATTCTTGGGCCATAATGATTTTCATCAAAATCTTCAGAGGCCAAGATGCGACGCGGGAGAGAGGGGAGCTGGAGGGGGAATGAGGGAATTAGTGAGATTGATTATGGTTTGCAGTTCCAGTGCAGTGCCAGCCACTAGTTAGCCAGGGTACTAGGAGGATGCGGTATCGGACATGTCTTCAGTTACCTACTAATACAGTATTGACCCGTCACTCGTAACTCGGGTAACTATACCGTATCCCTGCAGCAGTCCGGGGGAATCTTGAACCCCGCTTGCCCTCCCGTCCTCCTCCTCCTCCTCTTCTCTCAGATTTACGCACTACCCACCTGGCATCTCAGCCGCAGCGCTTGAATAGACAGATATCCGTTGATACAGGGACCGAAGTCAGTACTCGATACCAAACCGGAGGCAATGCCCTGGACCCGTCATCCCACGACCCAAAGGTCGTACTCCGGGTGTTGGACTTGTCGTAAACGCCATGTTCGATGCGATGAGCGCCAGCCAGACTGTGCCCGCTGCGAGCGAGCGGGGTTTTCATGCGAAGGATATGCGACGGCGCTGAACTGGGTCGGCCAGGGGGATGGTTCGGGCCCTAACAGAGTCGGGGCGCCATCTGGACGGCGCATGCGCCGACGGTGCGCGCCCGCGTCCGGCCACCGCAGCTGGCCCACCCTGAACTCGAGTCAGACTCAGGAGGAGCTGGAAGATCGCGTTACTCGGCACGGAGAAGCCCAACAGGGTCCGTTCTCAGTCTTTGCAGTAGTTAGGGTAGCGGAGGGGGGGCGCAGATCTAGCTGGGGGGCGGTGGGACACTTCCTGGACTGCAATGAACCCCCCCCTCAGAGACGACTCCTCGATCACTGGCGCCTTCGACTTAGTGCAGCTCTCATGCCCATCCCGGCGGGCAACAATATATTAGTCTCTGTCTTCCTGCCGTTGGCCCTCCAGGGATCCGTACAGCCCCATGTCGTGGCCACGGGCCGAAGGGCCCTCTTCCACGCTATCTGTGGCCTCTCGGCCTCAAATCTCGCCTCCCTCCACAGCAATGACCCGGAGCTGCTGGAACTGGCGGTTGCGCATCGTCGGCAGAGCTTCAATCAGCTCCGTCTCCAACTTTCGGCCCTGGAGGCGGGTGGGGGCGAGGACAGCGAGGTGGTTGCCCTCCTGGCCACGATCATCCTTCATCTGACCGAAAGCGCCACCGAGGGCATCGCTCACGTCTGGCGACAGCACATCCGCGGGGGCCTCGGCCTGCTTCAGGCAGTGCGGTCAGATTTATGGTCCGTCTCGACCTCCGCGGCCATGGTGCGAGAAATGTTCCAGTTTCTTCACACGGTGGCTACATATCAGCAATGTCATTGTCACCCCCCGATCGGCAGTCCCACTTCTGGGTGGTACTCCTCTGGTAGCGCCGACAATCCCCGGGACCTTGCCTACATCCAGCCCGCCCTGGGGGGATTCCCGTATACCCTGCTGACGGCGTTGCATCGCATTCAGGCACTCCCCCCTGCGGCCGACTTGTCGCCCACCCACTTGGATTGCATGGAGCGCGAGCTTTGTCACCTGGCCCCGCCTGCTGGCTCCCGCACGCATCAGCCGGAAATAATCCACTGCCACATTCTCCATTGTTCCCTCCTAATCTTCTTCCAGCGACGAACCGGCCGTGGCGCCCTGGGTGGGTTGGAGAAGCTGGCTCATGCGGGCTGGGAGCATGTTCGGCGGCTTGATGCGTTCGAAACCCGGGGTAGCCCCGTGACCTGGCCCATCATCGTGATCGCCTGCGAGATACAACTCCAAGAGCTTCGAGATCAGGTTCTTCGCTGGCTGGCCCTCCGAGCTCGCTCTGGATTTGCGGTTTATCGTCGTGCCCGGGATCTGTTACTCCGGATCTGGAGTGGCGCTAACCCCACCTTCGCGGACCACCGTTGGGCGACCCTGCTGCACACGGTTCCAGAGTTTGACATCTACTGGGGCTGAGCGACAAGGCATTTCTGTACTAACGGACATCTCTGACTCATACATATAGGGTTTGAATGCTGAACGATGGTAATGTAGCAATACGTCGGGAATGGATGGAAACTTGCCGAGGGTCGATGCTGTGCCGCTCCTACTGCAAGCCCTGTCTGGACCACCTACGGCGGGGAACCATTCAAAATACGGGGAAAAGACTTAACTACGTACCTGCCAGGTAGTCAATGTCATGAAGTGCCCGGCCGACCTCCTTGGCTGGGCACCTTACCGCCTCCAGCCACGAAGTATAATTACTCTTGTCAGATAGTCTTGAAGTTTAGAATGTGAAAACCCACCTTTCAGCAGACAAGATTCAACAAGCTTAAATATCGGGAATACTAAATAAGAGATAATGACAAAATAGAATATCATATTCTAAGAGTTTTACTTATTTTAAAGTCTATAAAACTCTAGAGACCAAGAAGAAAATGAGTACAGAATGTGTATTTCAGAAGAATAAAACAACATCTTTAATGTCGTTTTATGTAGTATCAGGATGAACATTCAGTCAAAGATAATTAAGAATATATTTTATTATTTTTATAAGAATAACAACTATAATATAGTTTACAATAGAATCTCTTAACCTGACTATTATACAACAATCATAATCTAACCATAACTGTATAGTAGGCCTCAGAAAGAACTGCAAAGACTAAGAACCAGACTGTACTAGACCGGACTATATTAGTTTTTAATTCTAAGTTTTAAAACTGCCGGGCGGTTTTAGATTAATAAAAAGTATACTATTATAGTTTCATATAACTTTATAATATTATAAATAAAACAAATAGTTTTATATTTTTAATATATATAAATTATATATAACCATTTTACATTCTTAAGGTTCTAGTCTTCTTAGTTTATTCTTTTATATTATATAACATTATTTTTTAATACTTGGTTTTCTTTTTATTTGAAAATTTAAACTATTTTTCTATTTTCTAAAATCTGTTTTACTTTTTATATAATTGTTCCATAATACCTTCTGCTACAGCAGCCTAAATCTAATACTAAGACAGTCTGCTTCTGGGTTGATACTGATTTGCCGGGCTTTTAGTCCTGATGTTTATATTATATTATTATATTATTTATATTTTTCTTCTTGTATGATATATTGTCCTAAAATTCTTTAGAAAAAAAGATTTCTTAAGAATTAGTCTTAAAATCCAAAAAGACTGTTTTTAACTATTCTCTAGCTTCTATACCCTATATACCTTCTATACCTTCTTTATTTTAGCTACCTTGGTTACCGTAAGGGCCCAAACAGCCCTTCCAACCTTCGCGGATATCTGCAAAGGGAAATATATATAGACAATCTAAGGTGGTGGTTATATAATAGCTAAGTAAATTAACTACAGCTACCCCTAAAAATAGCGGCTGCCTTATAAATTAAAAAAAATAAGAATAATATTTTAAAATGATATATTAGTACTTTTAGTTTTATAAAAGCTATTTATTTATTATACTATTTTACTTTTTAGTTTTTATAATTTTATTATTTAATATTCTGTAAAATAGCCCAGTAAATAATATCTAAATATAATATATAAAACTAAATTTAAAGTAACTTTTCTAATCTAATTATAAAAAACTATATATTAACTATAGAAAATAAATTATTTATATTGAAAAAAAAGTATAGGTTTTAATCTAAAATTTTTATAAATATTTATATATATTTAAATAAATTAGTAAACTGTAAAAACAGCTAGAAATTAGTATTATAAAAAAATATTTATATAAAAATTTAAAAAACTCTAATTTTAATACTGTAAAAACTAAAAAAACTAATATATATATTAATTTATTTATAAATAAAAAATAATACAGTATCT